ATAATTAAAGTTTGAGGGATATCAAATTGAGTTTAATTGGTTAACCGATGTGGCTCAAAAATTGAGGTAATACTTTACTACCCTATGCATGCTTTATGGTACATGTTGTTAATTTGTTAATGCACGATTGGAGCTATTGGTCAATTACAAAGAGTTAATTATTGATGAACTCGAATTAAATACAATATAAAGACAGTAAACCCAATAAAACTCAATTGAATCGTGTAAGGAACTAGAAGATCGATAAGAGATAAATCTATGTTCAGTGGTTTAATCAGTAAATCAATTAATCTTAGGACTCGTAAATTCTGATTAATCTCATTAAAGGCTAAATTACCGGAAGTACTTGACACGTTTGAATTACTCAAAATGACTATATTATATGACAAAGTTGAACTAAATGGAAGTATTGTATATATCCGAATTGTTTAAACGATTAAATTACTCTAGAAACTCTGAAATGAATGAGATAAACTTAAATACTAAATAACCTAAGTACCCTCAATGACCTATAATTAAGTGGATGAATGGGATAAGTCTGAAAACACTGATGAACTTATATATTGTACTGTCCATAAGGATTATGAGACACAAATCAAGCACGATGATATTTCTTGATACCGTTACAATGTAAAAATGACATAACTACCATTGGAATACCTGTTCGTCCCCCTATGATCCATTCAATGATGATTTTGAACGTGATCAGTTCAACTAGAGCAATCAATATTAAGAAGTGAATAATGGTCAAGTACCACAGTCTGAATGGTTGGCAAGTATCGCAGTGTTGGGATTGGTTAGTTTAATTTGACTCAAAATCCTGATAATTCGATATAAATCCTAAATTCTATAAATGATTTTTTTACTCTCATTGGGTTAAATTAATAAGAATTCTTCGACAAACCAGAATGTCTAAAATGTCTTTGATTGCATGAATAATGGAATCACTCCTGTCATATATGAAATCTCAAGTAACTCTGATGTAAAGGATTTTGAATACCTTTCTGATTACTTAGTGCCTTCGAAAAGTATCTGAATACTATGATTTTGATAATTCACTTCCTGAATGACCGATGAATCCACTAGCTATCAAACTTCCTTTTTATAAGGATCCCATTTCTGAAATTCAACCAGTTCGCAGAAGTTTCATGTTTTCCCACTTGATAATTGCTAAGTACCTCCATAAAATAATTGGATCCTCTAGTGTGTTACTTATGTGCCATATAATTGTTTTACCTGTTTTAGAATGTGATTTTCCGAAATTTCAGATTTACTGAAGTATTGATTTACTGTTTATGAACTATGGCTACATGATATGTGTTTTCTAGTTACTGTTTTTACTGAAAAATAAATATGTTTGAACTAGGTTTCCTGCTACCACTGGTTGTTGTCTGAAAAAATGTTTTCTTCGGAGTACTCTGGGATCTGGTATGAAGTATCTGTAGGTTCAATTCTGATCAAGCTGTTAATTCCTTATATAGGTTCAACACCGATCAACTGATAATTCCTTATTGCAAGTTTAGTTCTGATCAAGCTGGTAATTTCTTATATAGGTTCAGCACCGATTAGCTGGTAATTCCTTATGGACCTAAGGCGACCCTTGGATGGGCTCTTGGGCCCAATGGGCCTAATGGTAAGACCTTATGGACCCTACTCCCTTAGGGTGGCTCTTCTGCTGTGTGCATTGGGTAAGTCCCTAGGGGCCTGAGGGCATACCCCTTAGGTGGGCACCTACACTTTGGCTAGGGTAAGACCTTATGAACCCAATGTACTCCCTAAGGTTGGCACCTATGCCCAATGGGCCTAGGGTATCCTTATGGATGCAGTTCTGGGGAACTGCATACTGCGTATTGGTGTTCAGTTGGAGGGTATTTTTAAAATATGTTTTAAACTACTAATGTTTTTAATTGATATATACACATTTCTCTGTTTTGTTGGAACACAGTAGACACCCCAATTTAATATTATGAATTTGTCTCTCTCTGAATACTTCCTTCAAACAGTAAATTCCTGTTTGTAACTGAAGACTTAGCTAATGGAATCTAAATTCACCGCTAGAATCTGATGATGACTGTCCCGCTAAGGAATTTATGCTTGACCTTATACCCGATGACCTATTGCATTCATCTGACAGTTCTGTATTAATGAACTTTCCACGCTCACTTTGTTACTTACAATTTCAAGTTAAATAGTTTGATCATGTGCTTTTACCGACATCAGTAAAGGTGTTTCACCGGCGTTGCTTGCGGAGTACAGTGCATGTAATTAGGGAGATGTTGTATTCTGTTTTTATATTTGAGTTTGAAACTTGTTTTACTACTGGATATTGGAGGATTTTATTTTTACATATATAAATGATTTTCTGAACTCGTATTTTATCTATAAATTATTTTACAGTTTTAAATGGATTAAAAAAAATTTAATTTTTTTTCTAAATTTTTACTGTGGGTCGCTTTGGTGGCCCTAATGTGACACCTCAGATCGGATCAGGTTTCCCGCATCGGTCTGCGGTTGTTACAACAACTCCATAATCATCTTCTTCCATTCAAATCCTTCCGCTTTCTTCATCGAGTTTAGAGCTTTATAGGTTTGATTCCTCAACAAAAGCAACAATCATTCATCCGCTTTCACTTCTCTATCAGAACCTTTGGATCTGGATATTTGGTCCAACCTTTGTTTTCTTCATGCCATTTTATAATTGCTAACGTATATTTTTGTTGAGGTAAGCGTCTTGTATATTATGATAGTAATAATGAAAAGTTTTGGTTACGGTTCAACAATAAGTGAAATTAAAGTTTGTTAAACTTGATTTAGGATGTTGTTACTGTTACACTATTGCTAAAAGTTGAGATTTGGTGGAGGGATGGTTAAGTTTATCGAATGACAGACGCAAAAAATTATGTTAGAAGGTGTAAATTTAAGAAGTTATATTAAAAAATTTAAGAAATTCGAAATTATAAAATTTTAAGGATGCGATATTAGATAATTAATAAAAAATAAAAATATAAAATATAAAATATAAAGAAATTTGTAAATTTTAGAGAGTGCGACCGCACCCTAGCAGTCCTTAGTCCATCCAAGTTTGTCAATTCGTTCAACTACTATAATAGGTATATATTCTATAGAAACATCAAGTTTCTTTCAGAAGTTATGTTAGGTGCCCCTGCTTGGTATCCTGACTCAGGATTAACTCAACGTATTATAAACGATCCTTCTAATATCATATCCAACCTGCTTCGTGAAATTTCGTACTCTTTATTTCAATAAAATGAATATACAAAATTTTCAATAAATATAAATTATATTTTTAAAATTTATCTAAAATGATGCGTATGCAATTAATCACATAGGAGCTAAGTGCACCCGTCCCTTATTGGGGTTCCAATTGTTCAAGGTAATCTTCATATATTTTCTAAGCCCTTTATCTCAACAAAATATGTTACACGTCCCTGGCCTAAAGAAAAAAATTGTTGTTAGTCTCTCAGCTCACTTGAGATAATGCCATCTTTTTTTTACTTTCATTCTAAAGGACTCACGGGCCGGCTCTATCCTACTGGAAGGGAAATTCACACACGAAGGTCTTATACAAGTAGAGAATGTTTACATTATCTCATATCATCTTATTCAAAAGCTGCCATGTGGCACGAAGAGCATAGAGCATATGGTAAGATTCTCTCTCCTTATAAAGAGAGGCTGATACTTGGGCTCTCACCCTCTCTCTTCTATTCTCTGTCTCTTATCATTAGAATACCTATAGTATTAAATTACGGTTGCAATATAACGTAATATTTATAACGTAATGGTTTTGGAAGTCACTATAATATAATATTAATACAATATGATAAGAAAATCATATCACGACTTTACTGTATAAAACCGTTACGTAACACCATAATATGTAAAAAATTACACCGCAACAAACATCTAAATTTCCTGAAATATAAAATTACATAGATAAAATGCTCGATTATTTTGATTTAACAAAAAAAAAATGATGTTCAATATTATCAATCATTTAACTTATATTAAAGGAAAAGAAAGATAGAAAGAAAGAAAAAGCACATGGATTTACATGCTTTTAAATCATTGAAATCCTATCCCTCTCTTTTCTCTCAACCTAATTTTCTTTCAATATTTTCGTGTAGTCTTCTTCGTCTTCGATCTTTATTTAGTCGACGACGACATCAATTTTAATATTGGTTACTGATCTCAGAGGATTATTAGTTATCTTATTTTTTATATTACGTTTTTTATGTTTTTTCTTGTATTTTTTTAATTTTGAATAAATATCTCTGTACTTGTGGTATGATTTTTCTCTGCCCTTGTGACACGCGTTTCCTTTGCTCTTGTGGCAATATCCTCATATTTTTCGGTTTTTCGCATACCTTTGCAGTCGTTTTAGTTCTCACATAAAAATCATCACATTTATCTTCTGATTGGTTAGTCGATGATCACGTATAGTCGGATCCCTTTTTTGGTAAATGATTGTTTGCCGATGTAATCAGAATTGTGTAGCGAAGCAGCCTACCATATTATTTGGTTCGCTCTCCACTCCTTTATCACTTCACCAAGCGTCTCATTAGACAGAGATAAGGAGTTTATATGAATGTTATCGAGTTTTAATATTATTCGTTATTCTAAATGGAAGGTTTTAATTTTCTTTGTATATTTAGAAATATTATTTATTTTTGTTTGAATATTTTGGTGACTATTGTCTCCAAATTTATCTTTTTATTCTTATGCGATGTAATTTTAATTCCTTCCATTATTAATAAAAATTCCAAGATGCTAATGTTAAAAAAAGAAAATCACACAGATTTTATAAACTAATTTATTTCAAGCATGCCATTCCAGTCCACACGCAAAAGGTAAACATAAAAGGTAACAAACACACAAGACTCGGTTTTCATAGTTTTGTTTCCTTTCATTTATTCATAATTCTCAACAATTGCAAAAAAAAAAAAAAAAAAACAAAACAAAACAAAACACCATTTTGCTGATCAACCTTCACCTGCACCATCTTCCCCTGCTTTCTTCTGTTTCTTGGCATCTCCCATGCCAGAGCTGCAACCTTCATTTGAAGCTCCGCCGTATGCAAATTGTTTGGCAGACTCTCCCAGACTCGGCTCATCCTCAAACCAGTCAAACTGATCAATGGGAGGCAGTTTGTATGTCACATCACCCGAGTCCGAGTTTGAGTCTGCGCCTGTCAAAAAGAACATAAATATCAAATAATCGGCAACCCCAACAGTGTTGTATAATCATTTTGAACCAACTTTTTGAAAGAACATGGATCAAAACTATGCAGAAAGAATGTGGGACGAACGAAAAATTTTCACCATATTATTGCTGAAATAAACCTCGAGGTTAATTGCAACGTAATTCTATCAAGTTCAAGCAGTATTAATGGAATGGTTATGAAAGTAAAGCTTCAGAGAGCCTTGATATGGAAGGAAAAAAACAGAGAAATTAGACTAGTATGAAGAATCAAGTTTTGAACTTACTCGGTTCGGGCGTGCTAGCTCTTTTCTTTGACCTGCGGCCGCGGGCAGGTTTTATGGGAAAGAAATCCTGCAACAGAGGATTAACGCAACATTCATAAGTCAAGGCCTGAATGATCTTTTGAACACTATGGACTAATGTCTTATAATATGTTGCATCCGCTTGAGTTGGGAGTCTAAAATTTATATTTAACCCGCGGTAACCATCTATGTTGCTTCATCTCTCGATGCCCGATGCATTTACATAGATAGATATAGTATGGGGCTATGATTATGTCAATAACTTACAAGTATGTCGAAATACTTCAAAAATATTTAACATGTGTATGTAAGATGCATATTAATGAATAAAATTATTAATAACACCAAAGGGAAAAATAAGTTGAAACTCACATCAGCATAGATGGAGAGCTTAGCAGCTTTTGCATACTTCACATATCGCATGAGATCTTCATAGGAGTAGAACTTTTGCCCACTCTCGGGACATGTGTAGTACTGCAATAGCCAACCATTTAAAATCAACGGTCAACAAAATTCATCTTTATACTATCTAATTTTCAGCTATGTTCCATTGTATCACAATAAATGTTACTACTACAGCTTTTCTTCGAACCATGCGGCTTTAAATAGTGAAAGAGCAAGACATTTCATTACAAGCAAGTCCAATAATCTTGAAGAACAAATAATTATGCTCAGAAATGCCATAATAAATGGAAGAAGCTAAAGAAAAAAAGGGACTTAAGCAGGGATGCTTAAGGATTCATGCAATAGTCTTGCAGTACTGTCCAGAAACTTTAAAGATATATCACAGAGGTCTAGTAATAGATGCAAAAGCCACATTTACAGTCATCATTAGTATAGGTACACTCTTGCCTGTTCAGATTGGTCCATTAGATGGATAACCAATCATGTCATGATGGTAGCAAGTAGCAAATATCCTGGACTTTTTCTACGCCTTCACATATTACTTACCTTCGAGATTCAGAAATTTAGTGAAGACCACAACTAAATATAAATATCTTTTACCTAGAAATGATTGCTTGCTAATTCCAAAAGAATAATTCACACCATATAGATAATATCAGTTTCCAGCGTCTGATTTACATTCAGAAGGGGACTTCAATTTTAATTTCATCAACTGCATGCATTGACAAGGGAATCAAAAACTTTTCAAATTACCAAATCACAGTTCTTTCACTTTCTCAAAATAACAAACTAAGGTTCATATCTAGTATATACTCAAAAAATACACTATTAATATTTCATATGAAGATGTGACAATCATACCTCAAATAAAAGCAGACAACTTAACAGATTTGGTAACTAAATCTAGAAAGGCAAAATCAGATCATCTTAATTAATCATCAATAAACAAAGAAATATTACAAAGCATTCAAAAACTAGTGCAGGTAGAAAACTTGATTAAAGGGACTGATATGTATCAGAGCTTTCTAGTGTCTGAATCACATAGACCATAAGAGATAAACAAAGAACAATTAAATGTGTAATTACCGAAAGATTAGACCCATCCTTCTTCTTTTTGACAACCAACTTCCAGCGATCAGGAATTGGCCCTGAGGACTCCTTGTCTGCCATAGGAAAAATGATGATCTCTTAAGAGTGCTTAAAAGAATCCCCCTTATTTTCTCCGCCAGAGAAACAACTCAGACCTAGATTTTTTATAACAAAGAGACACTTAAAAGGCAATTCTCAGGAAGAGTCAAAATACTTTTAAAGCCGCGTGTTACCGTTCTCTCCACGTGTTTTATGATTCAAAATCTGAAACGTACCTGAAATGCAATTAACAAAAACACTGTATTTGAATTTTTCTAAATGGAACACTGGTAAGAAAATACAGATTACTTACCATGTTTGCTAAGATGAAAAATGAGTTCAAGGGGATATTGACATACAACATGAACCAATGGACTATTCAGATAAGCCATATTTACATTTCAAAGGCAAATTGAGTATCTTGTATACACGAGCAGCAAAAAAAGATTACTCCATTTACAGCCGTTACAAAATAGACGGCAGATTATCCAGCCAGAAAAGAAAGATTGACAACCTAAGAGAAATTCAACAATAGAACAAGAGAAATCAAAACATACAAGGGCAGGCCACCGAAGAAAAAGTCACATAGGGGCTTATCAGATTTAAAATTAGTCCTCTGTTTGAGTCCTCCTTAAAACCTTTGGACTCTATTCTTTCGAATTACATTTTGCTTTTAGCCATAAGCAGAGTGAGATTGCTACTGATTGAAAAAATGCTATTACCTATTAAGAAATGAGTTATAAAGTTTCAAACACTCACTAATTGATGCCATTTTGATCTACTAGACTTCAATTGATAAAAGCAGAACAAGCTGAATCAAAGACACAGTGATGAGTGATGACAATCTACAAGCTAGTGATCAAGACACAAAAAATATCACCATAAACATTTCTCATCCAAACCAAGAAACTAGTTCCATTATCACCATCAGAAATGCATTAATCATCATCATGACCATCAAAATCCAAACATCAACATTCAAGAGAGCAAAAAGGATACAAGGGTTTGCTTCAACTATCACACAAATCCGAAAACACATAATGTAAAGTGACTTGTTCAAATTCACAACATATTACATCATTTTTGTACCTATAATGGCGGATAAGAAATATAGGTGTAAATTGATTTATTCTATCCTCTTTAAGTATACATTGTTACTACTGCAGCGAGGAAAGGAAGCAAAGATTACAGAATCCCAACAAATCCTTCACTTTTAACATCATCATCATCATCAACAAGAACAATAATAAAACACATCTCAACTAAAATTAGTTACAACCATAAGCAAACAACAATAAGAAGCTAATAATTAATTGAAGGGCCGAGTTAGTGAAATTATGAATGTGAAACTGCAGAGCATTAATAATACTAATAATGAAAAACATATTTCCTTAGGGAAATGCATTCTAGGAAATAGATCGAAATCAAAAGTGAAAAACCTGTATTTTCCTTTTCATCGTGCTTCCACTGTTTCCATCTGCAACTGGGCAGGAATTAATGAGAAAAATAAAGAAAAGGAACATTTAACAAAGTCAAAAGCATTACACCACATCATTCTTGTTCCTCAACAGGATATTTGCCTTCATTGATAAATAGCATGACATCGCAATCAAAACTGTTAATAGTTTTTCCTGGTGGTTATTTGGTCAAAAGAAAAATGTTTTTCTTTTCTTTTTTCTCTATATTTTTTGGAATTGAACTTAAAGTTCAACCAATTAAACATGGCTAGTGTTACCCATGAGCTTATAAGATTCTTGAAAGAGCTTATTGCAATACAAAACTTTGCAAAATATTTCCTAAGACATACATGACACTGGTGAAAATTTTCACATTCCATGCTTCACTAGCAAGAATGATGTTTCTCAAGAGTATATACTGAGTATTGAAATTTCTGCTTGCTTGGAAAACTATGACAGAAAAAGTCAATGCATCATCTGTTTCAATCATAGAAACAACAATCGTAACTCTTAAAAGTTTAAAAGAAAAACACTGAACTGCTAGCCAAAGAAAGGTTTTGGAAGTTCTGTATGTCAAAAAACACAAACAACCTATTTAATAGAAAAACGGATCCACGAAGAGTGCAGCATCTGTTTTCACGTCAACCATAGCGACTGCATCGGTATTTACCCTTCACCAGTATACACACATTGGGCTTCACCCAATCATAACACCCACCTAAATATGAACCTGATAATTAGAAAGACAGAGCTTAAAGCAGATAATAAGCAAATGCAGAGGAAATTGAAAGGGAATGGGAAACTAAAGAGTATGAAACTAGCCATCACCTACCGGATTAGATAAGGACAATACCGATAACATAACTAAAGATTATAATTTCTTTAAACATGCAATAAATAACATAACATATTATACAAATCAGAATGTAACCACAGATAGAAAAGAAGTTCCTCAAGTCATGTACCACCAACTGTTTTACTAGTTAGAAGCAAAACAAAAAACAACATGCATCTCAAATTATCTAATTTAAAGCATATCCTAACATGGGAAGAACAATTTGAATAGGTGTCAAATAAGTGTATAATCTCACTTAGCAACAGTATTGTGCAATAATAAACCTGAGACGATTTGGTAACTACTAATAACAGATTGTCTAATTTCCTTATTCAATATATTGTAACCTTTCCAACACACTGCTTAGAGAGGAGCCTTTTGCAGGACTTTCTTTAAATTCAAGTAACAGATTTTCCATTTTGTTCTAAAACATTAAACCATAAAATTCAGATAAATCCTCGTAAATGTTGATAAGGGGCTACACTATAATCTTTCACAGTTAATACAATTGTTTTCATAACCTCGAAGCCCATTTATCACGATTTGAAAAATTTTACATGTTTAGTGATATAGCAATTCAGCCAAACGAAAACAATAACAAACAAGAACTAAACCAATTAACAAACTTATCAAAACCCATTTCAGATAATCAACTAAAATGGAAGTTTGCACCTGAATTTCAGTTTTTGGAGTGTCAAGAACACTGCCTTCGTGCAATGACGGTTGGAGGTTCATAGCATCAGCCATATTCAACAAAGGTAAGTTACCTATAGAAATCAGCGTATCTAATGCAAAATTGGATATGGGAAAGAGGGATTAATATAGAAGGGTTTGAGTAAGAAAAGATTTCCCCAGAGAAAGTGTGTTGGCATTATACTTAGATAAGCGTAACAGGATTATCACTAAAAAAGGAAAGGTTTAAGATTGGTTCTTGAATTTTCATATGATATAATCACACCGAGAAAGAGGGAGCAAAAGATGATGGTTTGTACTTGGAATGAGAGTGACGATGACACTTCGAAACCAAGAAAAAGAAAAGGGGTCGAGCATTACCAAATCAATTTTTCCTTCTCAATGTACGGGGCCAGTCATCAGAAAAAATGGGAATGGCATCATTGTATCTTAGTAGTATATATTTATAGGATAAACTACGCATTTAGTTGCTCAACTTTTATCATACATCTGTTTCGATCAGCTGACTTCAAAATTTTCAGTTTTACCATCGAACCTTCGGACATTTTTGTTACCTAGACATTAAGTGTCCAATTTTGTTTTATTTTTGAGAAGATTTATGAAAAACAAAATCTCATTTAACATTTTCTTCCTTTTGATGTTAAAATATTTTCTTTCAAATTTTAATTTCATTTTTTAGGTACTCATTCGTTAAGTGTCTAACTTCATTTAATATTTTTTTTTTGCAATTTTATGCAAAAAGCACCTGGATTTCCCCCCCCCTCAAAGTTAGATTTTTGGACTCCCTTTAGTTTACTAGTATCAATGTATTTTCTTTCAAATTTGAATGAAGAAGAGGTAAACAAAGAGGAGCTGAGCAATATATCTTAATTCCATAATGATTGCAATTTTATGCAAAAAGCACCTGGATTTCCCCCCCCCCCCTCAAAGTTAGATTTTTGGACTCCCTTTAGTTTACTAGTATCAATGTATTTTCTTTCAAATTGAATGAAGAAGAGGTAAACAAAGAGGAGCTGAGCAATATATCTTAATTCCATAATGATTGCAATTTTATGCAAAAAGCACCTGGATTTCCCCCCCCCCCTCAAAGTTAGATTTTTGGACTCCCTTTAGTTTACTATTATCAATGTATTTTCTTTCAAATTTGAATGAAGAAGAGGTAAACAAAGAGGAGCTGAGCAATATATCTTAATTCCATAATGATTAAATGATAGAGATTGTAGATCGGAATAAGATAACATTAAATATTTGATTTTAATTTTGTTCGATTTCAAAAAGATTAAATAAACAAATTAAGAAGACGAAAGGGTAAGAAAAAAAATATTTTGGCACTAGTTATGTCACGAACAATGACGATATAAAGGATGTCATCCATAGAGAAGAAGAAGGGTGAGAAAATAGGTTAATTTCATAAATGGAAATTTTCCAAAATACGATTTTTACTATTATTGATACATAACTAATGATTGAGAGACAAAAATGAAATTTAGAAATTGAGTGATTAAAACTGTAACACCCTAAATTCGATTCATCAGATCTAATAAGCCTATGATGTCACATTAGGTCACAAAAGTGAGCATTTGATTTAAAATTGATCAATACTTTCTTAAAAAAATCATAATAAATAAAGAACTACACATATATATATATTAAAGTATTTATATAAAAATTAGAGCTCTGAATATAAAAACGTACAAGTAAAAACAAATTAAAATTGCAGTAGAGTTTATAGACTAAATTACTAGTAATGTTCTATGAATACATATGCCACTAATGTAAATCAGAAGTTGTACTTTCAAAAGATGATGTTGAAATTCCTTCATCGATAGTGCTCCTCTGGAATGATCACAATCTACTAACACATGGATGAAAATATTCGAACATTGAACTTTCCAAGCTCATTAGTACACACTTTTCCTCTACTATAATTCAAGGAATTCATAAACATATTCATATAATGTAAGTATAAGTAGAGAGGTATACATTTATTATTTAAATTAGCTTACTACTAATAATTTATTTCTACCTAAGACGTTTGCTTACAATTATTTATTAGTAATTACTCAAGAGTATCATCAGTCGTGTTTTTAGTCCATAATCCTAGAATTTAATCATTCAATCCTATCATTGTTTCATACATTATTTATCATGATATGATTAGTATCATTCCAATCTCCAAATTACCACCAATAACACTTTTATTGCAAAGTCATAAACTTATGATCACATCACAATAATCATAAGGTATCTGAAATCACTACACATGGGGTATAATATACAATAGGCTATGGTACCTGGGATGACTACGCATCAGGTGATATATAAAAAAATATAACAATAGGATACTTGCAGTCTCTACACATCAAGCATTACATCAACGTGCTATGATACCTAGAATCACTACTTATTAGGTAATATAGGAGGAATTGACATCTAAAATCACTACTCATTTTTGGAAAATATAACTTTTGCAAAACGAGGCATTAGCAATGATTAGAAATATTAAATAAAATATTTAAATGGAACGATATCCGTGTCGTGGCATTAACCACTGCCTTAGAAACGAATTCGCCTCAATTTATGCAATCGATGCAATAGGCAGTCGTTCCCCAAGGTTAACACGATCTCTCTGAGGATTCATACACTCGAAAACTGGAGTGGACTAATAGTAGTATTGCTCTTCTCTTAGCACCAGAAGAATGATAGAGAGTTTTTCCTTATAAAAACTGTGAGAGGAAAGAATGTTTTTCAGAAAATGAGATGCTTGGGATGATACAAAATGATAACACTTGCCCTCACTATTTAGCTTATAAATAGTGGGCAAGTGTTATCGTTTTGTATCATCCCAAGCATCTCATTTTCTTTAAACCAAATATTAAATAGTGGGCAAGTGTTATCATTTATAAGCTAAATAGTGAGGGCAAAAACATCATTTCATTCAACAATATTAAATTGTTATTTAAACCAAATTCAATAGCATTACAAATGCTTTTAATTCTAAGCATTAACAATATCTCCCACTAATGTGAAACAATTCTTTCATAAAATAATGAGAGCATTGAAGTTAAAACACGAGAAGAGTTAGTGAGATTAGTTGCTTAAGCACTAATGAACGTATCTAGAATTAGTACATAGAGATGATGGGTAATTCTTCTCTTAGATAAGTGAACAGACCTTGAACTTTCTAAGATCAGTGTGAACTCATAACATACAACTAACCCCTTAATCCATCGAAGTCCTTGATGCATCTACAAAGTATATATACGAATGTATATATAGTCATATTTCCTCAAGAAAATGGCCAAACCTTTTTCATAGAATGTGGTTAATCCTTCTCACTTACATAGGTTATTTCATCATGTTTATCTCAATATAAACCATCCAAACTAGGATATGAAATAATTAAGAGCTTTCTCAATAGCTCATCCTTACAATAGGTATGATAAATATCTTCAAGTTAATTTTTAAATGAATCACCCAAACTTTGGGACAAGAATCATTAAGAACAAATATTCAACCTCATTAATCGTTGAATTCAATATATCATTCTAACTGGGAACACCCAAACACTTGGGTTTGAATTCATTAAGAGTTTTAATAAAACTCATCCTCTCTAGCGGTAAGTTCATCTAGTCTTTCGCAATTAGGACTACCCACTTAACTTTGGGTTATAAACTTATTAAGAATAGATATTCATTCAAAATTGGTAAATTCATCAAGTCTTTCTCACTAAGACCAGCCAAAGCCTAGGTTATGAATTTATTAGGAGCAATTAAGCTCATCTAGTGCATGTACATTATTCGTCATAGGGACATGTCAATAGAAATGTACACTATGAGTCTTTTCATGGCTTCGTTTGACCACATTGAACTTAGATAACTAAGTTGGGTATCCAACATGAATTCCTCTACCAATGAACTTTAAACTCAACCCTTCGACAAATGAAGAACTATTTCTGACTTTAAACTTTACTAAACGGATCAACTAGGTTCCTCTTTGAATTTGATCATCATTTTAAGACACCCAATGTTTCTAATATTTTTAGGATATAAATGAATCCATAAGTTTCTTGAACAATGTGTAAACAATTCTCTTACACATATACTTAGTCATACTAGAGTAAAGTTTGTTACAAGTTTTAAACATAAAACTATACTTTAACAAACACAAATCTTGTTTACACATGACTAAATTCTCAAAGTTTTGAGAATTTAAAAATCAGTATATCCTATTTTAGTCATTCATGACTTTGTTCAATTAAAAGGAATTTCAATTTTTCCTAGTTCTTCAAAAGAAGTGTTTAGGAAATTATGAATATTATGAGGAGCTTTCAACTTTTCTTAACAACAGAAAAATTATCTCAAGTTAAAAACAAGAGAATTTAATACAACTCCTGAGATAGACCATCTATTTTCTTTCCTCTACTTGGGAAAAGAACTGAAAGAGATTTAATAGATACAACCAACTTTTAGTAGCACTAGTGTCTATCATTTTCTCATTCATATTTTCAAAATAATAGCCATAAAGAGACCATCACATGTTTATTTATTATAACTAAATTTGATATTCTACTCAATCAAATTAATCTCTACTATTTTAACTTCAACACTAAGTTTAAAGAGAGCTTAACTTGTCATAGTATTTTATAAAATTGAAATAGTGAGCATAGTAATGAACAATGCCCCAATTAGGTTTCTAAGAGAGAGAGGTGGTGCACTAGGAACACTTAAATACTAGGTCTTCCTAGAACCAATCATATATATTCATTTTCATACTCATCACACTACTTTCCAATAAATCATTTATGAATTTCTTTCTTTCTTAAGGCTTCTTAAAGAATTATGGTTGATACTTTTACTCACAATAGTATTTTATTAAGCATATACATTTTGGGCTCACTACTACCTTAACCTTAGTAGTTTTTCACTACTGTAGTCTTTACTAGTGGTTTATCTCATTTCATAATATTTCCACTAGATTTAAAAGACTAATTTAAAGGCTCATTTAAACTAATTCATGTATCATTCTAAGCATGAATTAACATGCAATATGTATAAATAATCTGACCTCTTATGTAGAATTATAACTCCCAAATAGACTTATTCATTCTCATCATGTGTGCGACTTCATTCTTTGCATCATCATCTTTAATAAAAAAGGTCCAAAATCTAACATGACAATCAATTCATTTGAATTAACATCTCTCTTAAATTTGTAATTTTGTACTCAAATGAAGATTTTACACTGTTAGTCTAAAACAATGATTAACTAACAATAATAAATAATTAATAATAATGAAATCTTATATTCTCAATCTTGTCTCTTCATTCAAGCTTTATCAATTTCAACTTCAGCTCAAAATAAGCTAAATAATGAAGGTAA